CAAACACACGCGATCCTCTCTTCTACTCTATGTGCTCCCAGAAGTCTTCTAGTGCAACACGGATCAGCCCCTGCTCTTCCATGCTCTCCCTCCCAATGCGCTATCCTCGCTCTCTCTCTCTCTCCCCCCTCCCCCCCCCCCCCCCCTCTCGTTTCTCTCGTCCTTGTCACTCATGACTCTCTCTGCCCTGACGCCTGCGACAATGCGGCGGCACTCGCGACATTCTGTACCAGCTCCTGCCCGTCACTTCTCACGTCCACTCTCATGCGCCGGTAGCTTGACAGCTGGTGACTGAGGACTGGAGGCTTGCTGTTGCTGTTGCTGTTGCTGTTGCTGTTGCTGTTGCTGTTGCTGTTGCTGTTGCTGTCGCTGTTGCTGTTGTTGTTTGAGGAGGAGGAGGAGGAGGAGGATGAGGAGGAAGACGAGGACGAGGACGAGGACGAGGACGAGGACGAGGACGAGGACGAGGACGAGGACGAGGATGAGGACGAGGATTTAGATGATGATGAGGATGAGGACTGGGGAGTATGCCAGTGAACGTGCTGGATTGCGATGCGGCGGCGCGGCATCATCTTCATTGGGGTAGGCGCGTCCTCGGGCTGAAGTTACAGGGCCGATTTTGTACTACAGCCCAAAAGAGATCTGAAAGGGCGCGATGTGGTCACCTGATTCCTGTAAAGGTCCCATGTCATGGTTCTAGGACCGTGATCAGACCGTTGATATGGGGGAGTAGACCACCCCTACGAAAGGGGGCTTTTTAGGATCACATAGTGTCCGGGGTCCGTATCTTTATATTTTTTAGATGATATTATCATTATATATCTGCTTTACTCAAAGTTAAGTTAAAAATCAGTACGAGGACAATCAGGAGAGTCGAGGAGGCTTGACCCTGACACTGTCGCACAGGCCAAACGGCGATCATTATAGAGTGTCCGGGGTCCGTATCTTTTGGGATATCTTTTGGGTGACCTTCTTCTTCGCATCCTTTCGGACCGATCGTTAGTTTATCAAATCGCTCAACGTGGCACCGTGCCCATTGCGTTCCGAAGGAGTACGGTAATAAGTGGAGGAGACAGACAGGATACATAGTGAAGCCGTTCAAACCTTGAGAGGCCAAGGAGGATACAACACGCAGCTGCACGGGGTCTCTTTGAATTCGACTCAGTAAATCGCATTTAGGCCCGTTTCCCGCCGGCTCCCAGATTCCAGATTTTTGACTTTATTCAAACTAATTTGAATAAAGTCCCCGAAATATTCACCGGTGCTTTCAATACATACTGACAGGGGGTGGGTCCACTGCCTGTTCATATTTGATGCTCCCAGCGTACCCTCCCTACCTTCTAACAATTTTTCTCGATTGAGCTAATAGTATATTTCCATATAGTGCCTGCCCATTCGAAAAGCAAAATCTGGGAAAGTCAACCGCATCGTTTCATTCTCAAATTAAAATGACTTATAGTTGAGTTCTGGAGTAGAAAAAAAAGAATTTGACTTATATTTGTATGAAAAAATCTGGAATCTGGAATCTGGGAGCCGGCGGGAAACGGGCCTTATAATCAAAGTTTGAACTGACTTCCCGCGCTCCCGCGCATGACTATGCTCCCATGAACGTGCCTAAAACTTACAAGTGTGTTTTAAACGCTTGGCTCCCTTAATTAACTGATTGTCTTGAGACTTCTTCGCCCGGGGGAATCGGCCCAGTTACTGAGAGTGCCGCCGGGTCTCCTTGGCCGGGCCCCGAGCCCCGGGCCCCGAGAGTGTCCGGGCTCCGGCTTCGGTACTGACTGGGCCTGAGATCAGGTTTCACAAGAGTTTGTAGGAGCCGAGAATGGCCGGCGAAGGCGCTCCGCTGTCTCCTCGCACGATGGCGGGGAACATGGCGATGAAGCAGGCCAGGGAAGACCTCGAGGAAGGGAGAGCAGAAGGTTGTTGTCCTCCTGACCTCCTCCTGACCTCACTGCTGTCTTGTTCTCCCTGTGAGATCCAACTCTCTTCCATGTGGTGCCTGTGTCCTGTCTCTGTTCCCCCTGCTTCAAAGTTTGATCCTGGTGTGTGAGTTTGTCGATCAGATGCCGAAATGAGTCTCCTTGCCGCCATCTCCTTCTTCGAGGAAGCAGGCAACGAGGAGCTGCTGGGGCAAGCCAGCGAGATGCTGGAGTACGTGCAGGAGGTTATGAGGTTCGGAGAGGGAGGAGTGTTGTGTGCGATGATCGCTCATGGCAATGGCAGGGAGAACCATGTAGATGAAGAAGAGGACAACAACGACGAGCTTATGGCATCGGACGACAGCATGGAGTTGGACCGAGTCAACAGTCCCCCGACAAGGTGAGTGAAATTGATCCCTCTTTTGTCTTACTTACCATGATTGCAACAGTCCCAAAGCTGTCATGTCCAACGACTTCACAGTACGACCTCATGACAACGTGTATCTTGTTGTCTCTTACCCGACTGTGATGAAGAATGCGATCAAAGCATTCATACAGAACCGCAACGAGGCAGAGAGCAAGTCGCTGGTGATAGCTCGGCTGACCGCTCGAGGGTATGATATGACGGTTGATGTTCAGCTCTCCAACATGAAAGAAACGTCTGCGGTCAAGGAAAGAGATGCTGACGCTTCTGCTGAGCCTTCCTCTTATACTCGAGAGCTCTTGCTCGTCATGGTTTGCATGGTCACAACATTCGAGGGGTAAAGCGAAGGATATTGACAATGGGATGCAGTTGAGAGATTGTCGAGAACAACTTGAGAGTTTCATGGAACAAACACAGATTGTGAGATGTTTGCTCTATCCTGATCACTGACATGCTGTGACACATCCAACTTCTGTACAGGCGCGAGATCCCAGCGGATTGACAAGTACCTACCATGGCATTGTAAACGTATCCATTGGTGGGGCAACAGTTAGCTTACTAGTCTCTGCTTAGAGGCAATATGGGAGCAGAACAGCTGACAAGTTGCTTGCTGAGCATCGAACAGGTGCGTGCGACAACAAAAACACTTGTATCTGCGCTATGCTGACTTATCCTTGTGCTGTTTGTGTTTGGGATGCTCGTTGTTGATAAGAACTATTGGAGGGTGAGATCAACAGCCTAAGGCGTGAGAGGATCAGCCTTCTGGAGAAGCTTGAGTCTGTGGTTAGTCACGTCTCATGATTTGTCGTCTTTTCAACAAGATTGCTGACAGAGTGTTCTGCGGGAGCAAGTGAAGTACCTGGAGACTTCACTGGGGAGCATGAGAGCTGAGAAGGCGAGGGCCGTAGCGTCACGAGCTGAGAAAGTTCTGACCTGCAGTCTTGACAGGCTACCATAGAGAATCAGAAGTTGAGGTATGAACATCTCACTAGCGTCATTGCAACGAGAATCCGAGTGGTGAGAACGTTAGTGCAACATGTTCTAGCACCGATGCTTCATTCTCGTAATGAACAAGACGGGATGTATCAAGATGCAATGAGCTGTTGTTGGATGTTATCAGTGCAACCTAGATTCCCCTCAGAAGAGACAACACATGATCTTTCAGAACGTCTTGTACTTCTCTCTCTTATCTTCCCCTCCAGGACCTTGAAGACCTGGGTCGTTGTCTTCAGGAACATCGTTCAAAGAATCCCCAGCTCCTCTCCGAGCTGCAGCAGGCAATCCGTTTTGCCTACAGCGTTGAGAAAGCACAAGCGCTGGAGCAGATCGAGGGAGACGCGTGCGAGCACTGGCTGCTGACAGGTGAAGATGGAGATAATGACGAGTCGGTTGTGATAGAGTTTGTTATGATGACGATCTTGTGATATTGGCGATATGAACATGTTGAACAGCAAACGCCATCATCAACAAAGCTGTTTCGTTCGCACTCTCTGTCTCCACTTGTCCTCAGACATCGAGTGTTGCAACTCAGGTGAAGGGAGTCAAAACTCGAGCATTTCTCCTGCTGACTATCTACAGGTTGATGGCGGAGAAACCCATGAGGTGCTGCCTGTCTGCTGAATTCTCTCATCTTTAGTTGGTTGAGTTTCCATTGCTTGCCTGCTCCTTCTCCCTCTTCTCTTCCTCCCCTCTTCCTCTTCCTTCTCTTCCTCCTTCTCTTCCTCCTCTTCCTCCTGATCCTCCTCTTCCTCTTCCTCCTGATCCTCTTCCTCCTCTTCCTCCTCTTCCTCCTCTTCCTCCTCTATCTCCTCTACCTCGTCCTTGCTGCTTATTTTCTACCTCAGTACCTCCCTTCCTCTCTTCATGATTGATCACACGACAAGTGGTTGGCTCTCTCTACACCTTTCATCCTTCGTGCCTGCGACCTTTTTTCAGCTGAAACTATTCTCATACCTGACTTGACAACCAGTGCGAATCGAAAAGCGGCAGAGTGAGCAACGTGGAAGAAGACAAGGCGACCTTGAAAGAAGCAAGAGCAAAAATCGACAATCTTATCGCCGGTTGACCAGGGAGAAACTCACACCTGGCTCTGACATGACGCAAATCATTGCAGAAGTAGTCGATTTCAACACCAGAGAGATGATTTTCTCGCAGCAACTTGTGTGTTTTACTCTCAAGACGTGTTCATGTCTCATCTTGCTCTCAGGAAAAAGAACAACATGAAAAGACAGTGCTGGCAGATGCACTGGCAGACCTTGAAACGAGGATGAGGAGGATGAATGATCGGATGAGGGAAATGAAGGTGAGCGAGGGACGAGGACGTGGAGAGAGGAGGACCAGGAGGAGGAGGAGGAGGAGGTAAGGAAGATGAGGTATACGGTGAATGACATGATGTTGCTGATTGGAGGAGGACGAGGGAGGAAAGAGGAGGAAGAAGAATAGCAGGAGCAGCAGGAGCAGCAGGAGAGAAGATGAGGAAGAGGTGAGGGGATAGATGAGGAGAAAAGAAGGAGATAGGGATGAGGGAGGGAGGAAGAAAACGAAAGTTGAGGGTGGCATGGAAGGAGGAAGGAGGGAAGAGACGCGATGAATGACGTTGAATGTCAAGGCGGAAAACGAAAGAATACAACAAGAACAAGAGAAGTGCAGAAAGAAATCTGACGCAGCGATCCGAACACTGCACCATGGTTGTTAGATGACAACCTGAGTTGAAAGATGTTGACATTTCTCTCAGTGCGATGGCTGATGCTGAACAGAATGATTCCCGAAGAGATGTCGAAGGTGAAGAACACAAAGAGACATCTGATCCTTACCATGACTGTGTGTTCACAGGCAATAATCCGACATGTGGAGCAACTGGAGCATGATGAAGATTATTTCCAACTCGACGAGCAATCGTGGGATGTTGTCAGAGTTTGCGGACTTCTCATTCACTTCCTGTGCCGGAGGAGAGACGAGTCATGTCTATCTCCTGATGACAACCTCGCCCAGCTAAACAGGCAGAGTCTTCAGGACAAGACAAGCTGTACATCAGTGATAACCTTTGAAGCCGCTGAGAAGATTCTACAAGGTGTCAAGGAGTTTGTAAGTTTTCGCCTCCCGTCTACTCTCCTCTCCTCTCCCCTCCTCTCCTCTCCTACCCCCTCCCCTTCCCTTCCCTCGCCTCCCTTCTCCTCCCTTCCCCTCTCCTCCCCCCTCCTCTCATCTTTTCTCATCTCCTCTCCTCTCCTCTCCTCTCCCCTCCCCTCCCCTCCTTTCCCTCTCCCCTCCTCTCCTCTCCTCTCCTCTCCCCTCCCCTCCCCTCCCCTCCCCTCCTCTCCTCTCCTCTCCTCTCATCCAGCCTCAGGCTGACGACCTCAAGAAGCGCGAGAAGCTACGTCGGCAGATCCTCTTTGACCTCAAAGTCAACTTTGACAAGGAGCGGAACCAGCTTGAGTCGGTAATCCGCCTCAAGGAGCAGCAGCTCGTGAGCCGCGACGACGTGAAGCAGAGAAAGAAGCTTGACGTTGGGAAGAACATTGACAAGATCTACAAGAGCCTCCTGGTGCTGCCCATCCCCCGACGTCTTCTCTCCTCTCCTCTCTCCTCTCTCCTCTCTCCTCTCTCCTCTCTCCTCTCTCCTCTCTCCTCTCTCCTCTCTCCTCTCTCCTCTCCTCTCCACCCTTCCTACCTTCCTCTCTCTTATCCTTCCTCCTGCCTTGCGTCCATCGTCGTCTAGCTCCTGACCTTCCTCCCATTCCTTCTATCTCCTCCTCCTCCTCCCTCCTCCCACTGCTCCTCCTTCTTACCTCTCTGTCTTGACTCCCTGCTGTCCAGGAGAACTCTGGTCAAAGTCCGCGATCCAGCCAGGGCGAGCTGGGAAGCCCTCGCCCAGCAACTCGCCCAGCATCCGACGACAGGATCTCTCTCAGTCCCCGCGAACTCGAGAGGTGAGAAAAAGATGCCTAGCTGGCCCTAACCTCTTCTCGCACCTTTTCTGCCACCTTCCATCCACTTATCTCTATCCCTTGCTCCTTACCCTTCACCCCTCCCCTTCCTCTCCCTTCCCTCCTCCCTCC